AATGATATTTTGTAAAGAGTTAAAACATGCATTTAAAATTAATCCCATTGTTTTTAATATGGCTACAATTTTAAAGCACACACAAGGCTCAAGTTACTTTCTATCCAGTGGTTCGAAGCCTGGCCACTTCCACCCGACCCCCTCCCTCCAAGGCTTTCCCGCTCCCTTCCTGGCTACTGCCTTTGCTTATGAAATACCACGGATTTTTAGGCTCAGCATCCAAGTAATAACTTGGCAGGGAAAAGGGAAATACTCCCACGTTCACTGGACACACTGGCTAAGAACACCCCGATTCGGAAGTGGAAAACCAGATAAAGCCTCCAGTGTACCTGTGAGTATCTGTTGATGTGTCACTTTTGAAGTGGTATGTTTACTCCTCTTTTCTGCATGGGTATTTTCACTGTGAATTCCTCGAGGCTCCATGGCCCTCTCCCTGGGGCCAAGAGAGCAGGACCAGTCAGTTGTTGGTTGCACCTGCCTCAGGGGAACCTTGTCGGCTTCCACAGTGGTCTCCCAGGAGGTGATACTTCATGGCAAAGCCCTGGGCCTGCTGGGTGCTCAGTAACCATTGCTGTGAGCGGTTGGTTATTGCTCACAGATTGCTTCATGCCTGCTGCCTTATCTAACAACGAATACTTGTGGCATTGTCACAACTGTCTTTGCAACCACAAATTGGGATCCATGACAAAGGAAGCGTGTGCTACCTGTAGGTCGGAGTCTTCGAGAGACCAGGATTTAAATGGGAGACTGGGCTGGGGGTGGGGGTGGCATCTCACTGGCTGATAGGGAGGGTGGAGGAAGTGGCATGCTGATGGGATGGGGTGCAGGCAGCCTGGCCCCAGAGCAGAACACCTAAGTATTTGCTAAGGATGGCAGTGCACAAAGGTTAGGACGCCCAGATACGGACCAGAGGGGTTGGTCCAGGCTGAGCGGGGTGTTGGAGACAACAGATGCAGGCAGGTGGCAGACCAGCCGGGGTACAGACTGGAGGGGTGTTCTGAAGCCACCGGGCAGGTAGACAGGCTTGGCAACCTGGCAGAGGTGGCAGGTCTGGGTGCATTGGGGCCTCTCGTGGTGTCCTCTGTACCACTTCTGTGGATTTAGCAGAATCGAACGGGGTCTGCAGGGAGGCACCAACCTCACCGGGCTGTGCACCTAGAGCCTAGGATGCCCAGCAGCCCTGGGGTGCCGTTGTAACTGGCTCCAGCCTGTCCCTGATCCTAGCAGGGCCCAGCGAGCAGGGTCTCTGGCTTGTCCCCCTCAGGGCCCACAGCTGGGGACAGAATCCAGGAAGCAATCAAGTGTCCCACTCCTCACTTCCCACCCGCTCTGAGAATGCCCTTCAGCCTGTGTGTCAAAGGGATGGGGGAGCTGAAGGGCTGCACACACTGGGGGTGGCAGGCAGGTCCTTGATCTAGACCACCAGTGTGGGCCTGCAAGGCACTTAGTACCCCCACCCTTCTTCCCACACACTGCATGAAGGCCTGTCAAGCCTGGCAGCTCCAAATGGCCACATTAAAAGACCCTCCATTGGGGTGGCGCACTGAACAAGAGGAGGTAACTGGGGTGGAGGAAGTGGGTGGGGCCAGCTGGACTAGAGGCTCAGCCACATGGGTCGAGTTGGACTTGGGGCCAGACATGACACGCACACACCGCCCAGGTGCCAGGGGTGAGGCTGGGCCAAAGTCCTGGCTCTTGGCAGTGTGCCAGTACAGCCTGGCAGGGAAGGTCTGAGTTCACGTCTCCTTGACATTGGCTAGAACCTGTAGGCCCAGGGCCTCACCCACTAAGCACCTGGATGGCTGCCACAGGGTGTGGAGGGCAGGGCAGTGACTGTTGTAGTGGTCTTCTGGCTCGCCGTTTGGGAAGAGCTATTCCTAAAGAGGATGTTAGGGTGGCTGGGGAACCATCTCCAGGGTACCAGGTCCTGTGCAGCCCGCTGAAGGTCTGGCCCCCATGAGAACTGTTGGGGCACAGGTGGGTGCTCTGTGACCCAAAGGGTGGGCTGATCAAGCTGAGGCAGTGGGAGGCTAGCGCCATCACTGGTAGCTGGGTTCTGGTCATCTGGGGAAGTAGCTACCAGCTCATCAGTGTTACCCCAGCAGGGGGTCCTTCTGCAAGTGACCAGAGGCAGGGGCTGGTTCTGTGCTTGAGCTACTTGCTTGCATCTTCCATGTGTGGAAGTGGTCCGTGACAGGGTCCAGAGGGTGAGGGAGGAGTGCAGACCCTGGTGATGCTGGACTGGGTCCCATGTTCTGGGTGGTGGGACCAGGTGTCTAGTCATGGGGGCCTCCAAGCAGTGGATCCACTGAGGCCAGGTGATGAAATACGTTTCCCAGCCCCACCTCCTGTTTCATCTTTGTATTCAGTCTTGACAGGCCTTTGGAAAGCCCCAGGGCCCATGCTGTCCCACAGACCAGCTTTAGAGCCTTGGCACACTTCCCCTGGGGCCATGCCATCCTGGGGGAGCAGCTGTCACAGTTGGGGAACAGGTAACAGGACTGTTACTGCTCCTTTGTGCAAGTGCGGGTTCCTGGCAGAGGTGGCAGGGCCCTGAGCCACAGGTGTCCAGGAGGGGGCAGCACATGTCCCAGCAACAAAATCCTGCTGGTGTCCAGCAGGGGCAGCACCTGCTCCCAGTCCAAGCCCTGAGCCATGTCCACACTGAGGTCCACCAGCAGGGGCAGCACCTGCTCCCTGGCTTGAGGAGGGTTCCCAGAGGCCCAGCAGGGGACAGCATGGCCTCCCAGCAGGAGCACTGTGCTATGTCCCTGCTACACCTCCCAGCAGGGCTCTGGAAGTGGACCTGCCATTGCCCTAGCCCATCTCTTGATGGCAGGCCGGGTGCTGCTTGGTCAGCCATGGAGATCAGCAGCCCTGGAGAGCCTGGCAGCCCCACAGCGGGCTCAGCCTAAAGGGGAAGCTGTCCCCTTCCCTACCCCACGGCAGTCCAGCTGTCACGAGGCCCGGTACAGTGTCCTCCTCCCCTTTTCTGAGGCTCGTGGAGCCCAGGCCGCACCACACACAGCTCTGTGAAGTTCTGGGTCCCCACTGTACCAGCCAGCAGCCATGTGTGACAGCCACCTCGCCCCGACACCCCTGAACTGATAGGAAGCATGAGATGGGCTCCTTTGGGGGAATTTATTCCCAGTCAGAGGGGGAACAGGAGTGGGCTCTCCGCAGTCTCAGGCTGAGACACCAGCAGACACAACACCACGACCAGGGCAGGGGGAGGGGGGCACAGGAGAAGGCTCCGAACTCCGTGCTTGGTCCCTGGCTGTACCGGCTGGGTCTGGGGAAGGGCAGGACCCTGCTTGTGGGTGGTGGCACTGAGAGCCAGGTGGAGGTGGCAGAGGGCAGGCCAGGGCGGACCCAGTGGACAGCACACGTGGGAACAATAAATACTGACAGGCCGGGCCAGGCCAGGCAGGCCAGCCAAGGCTCGGCCGCCGGCCCTGCTGGGACAGACCAGAGCAGCTTGAGTTTTGGCGATTTGGCTTTCCCCAAGCCACAGAGCGGCCCTCAGGCCTGGACACCTCCGGTGTGGAGGACAGACGGGGCAGGGCCACATGCTCATGCAGACACTGGGTGAGTGCTCAGCCAGGGCCCCGCACACACTCCACACGTTAAGGCATCATGGTTACAAGGTGACCGACAGTCCCGGGTCCAGGAGAGGCGGAGCCTGCCCCTCCACCCCCTCTGGCCAGCAAGCAGGCAGGACCTGGGGACAGCACAGGCAGAAGCAGCCACGAGACACTGAGTACATGACCACAGCCGAGGCCGGGCCACGGGGCCAGGAGGGAGGGGGCCTGTCAGCACTTTGGTTTGGGGAGGGGAGGGGGGGAGGGGGACTAGGCCTCAGTCCTTCCAATCCTTCTTGATGGTGAGGTTCCACTCCCAGGACAGGTGGTCTGTCTTGTCGTCGTCTGTGAAGCGGGACTTGATGTTGTAGCTGCCACGCGCCAGCATGCCTTTGGGCGCCTCCTCCATGGGCGTCAGGAACTCATACTCCTCGGCCCGGGGCCCATAGCTCCCCACCATGTAGTCGGTCTTGTCAACTGCAGCCACAGGGACCTCCGTCAGCACTGCCCACCCTCCACCCTCTGGCCAGCTGGCCTGCCCTCCCTCCCATCTCCTCAGCGGCCCAGAACACTCACTCTTGATGCCTTTCCTATAGGTGTGCTGGATGTACTTCATGCCCGACACAATCTCTTTGTTTACCTGCAAACAGAGATGCAGCTGTCAGTCCCTCAGCCACTCCTTCCTGCCCGCTCCCCTCCCCACCCCCAGGCCCCAGGTGATGGCCACCAATCTCACCCGGAAGGAGATTTTTATCTGGTACTCCACCCCCTCCTTCAGCACAAAGGACTCCTTCTTGAAACTCTCCAGGTCTCCTGTGGAGGAAGGCTGCTGCACTGGGGGGAAGGGGTGCCCTCCTACACCCCTAGACCCTTGGCTGCGCACCTACATGCACACCTGCAGCAGCCGGCCAGGCCGCTCTCCAGGTGACTCTGAAGCTAATACTGTCCCCAGCCACCTGGCTGCAACCCTCGCCCACCTTGCACCCCCACCACAACCCAGGGCACCCAGGCCTCACTTCACCTCATGAACATGGCTGCCACTTACCAGCCAGGTTCAGCTCCAGAGGGCCAGGGGCAGTGCCGCACACCAGGGTCAGGCGGGTCACAATGACATTGGGGACACTGGGGTCTGGAGAGGAACAGAGTCAGAGGTCCAGCCTGTGGCAATCCACAGGAGACCCCACAAGAGGGCTGTGCAGGGCGGGGAGCAGCCTCACCAGCAGAGACGGCCACTCGGCCCAGGAGGGCCTCCTTGTACTTTCGCAGACTCTCATCGTCCTTGTCCAGCTCCTGGATCTCCTGGATGCTCTTCTGCGCGGGCGGCTTGTAATTGACCGAGTGCTCATCCTCCTCATTCTCGGCAGCAATCTGTGCCAGCTGCTCCGCCGTGGGCTCCTGCTCGGCCATGCTGCTTGCCTAGTCTGCCACGCCTGTGGGGAAGGGGAGCTGTGGCAGCTTGGGGGGCAGCAGGTGCCCTCTGCGCCCTGGCCACGGAATGCATGGTAGGTGGCTCCTGCTGCAACCAGTGTCCCCGAGAGGCAGAGAATATCCAGGAGAGGGATTTCTTCAACTTGGAGGGAAGCAACACGTGCCACCCTGCCCTGCCCACCTGAGGTGACTGCCCCACCCAGACAAGGCAGCACCCAGGAATGCTCCTCAAGGGTGAGGTGGGGGAGAGCCGTGGGTGCCCCGCCCCCGCCCCCAGCCGAGAATAACCCATCTGCAGTCACAGAGCAGAGGGGAGAATCCTTGGGCACCTCAGGAGCAACTCCATGTGCTACCCCATCCCTGCTGGTGGCCCATGGGATCATCTCTATGGGCAGGACTGGGTGCTCCTGCCCTGGCTCGTGCCCCCGCTGCTCTCACCTGCCGGGGCTGCTCCTAAAAGCTGCCCCAGCCCCCAGGGGGTTCCCTATCTGTTCCTGCGCGTCCAGAAGATGCCACCTCCTAAGGAACCCCTTATGCTCATGGGACTCCCCGCTGTTGACTGCAACCCACAGCCCCTCGGGCTGTCGCAGGGCGGTGACCAATCACAGGGCCGGAACCCCCAGGACGTGCAGGGCCCAGGGGCCTTTCCTCGTCCGCTTGCGGGCGGCCTCCGGGGCGCGCCCGGCTCCGCACT